ATAGCTTGACATTAAGAGAAATTGAACCACGTTATTCACTTCCCTTGAAAGCGTACCTTACATAGCTTAAGGTTAATAGAGACTCTCTACGTTGCTCCATTAAGTAATAGATATGACATTCCCGCAGCTAATCATCAGGTTACTGTGAGTGAGAGAACGGCGTTTGTAGGTGTCTTTGTGTGCATGTGTTTGTAGGTAACTGTGTGTGTTTACCCATACACTTTTCTTTGTTATTTTTACTCTCGTTTTATTGTAGTGAAGAAAGTTAATTGTTTCGTCTCTGTCCATTTCTTTGAGCCTCCACAATGTAGAGAATTCACTCACCAAAGCTGTATTCAAAGCACTTACCAACGAGTAAATATATTGAAAAAAAAACTAACACTGAACAGTATTCCTAACATCAGATCCAATACTAGTAATAAATAATCATATTGATTAATTGGCTTTACGCTGGTCTTGTGTTTCGATTTTTGTATTTTTGAAAAGCTGCATCGCAACACACGAAAAATGGTTAATCAGAAATAGGTAATATTTTAAAATAATTACAGAAGACTGCTTGAGCAGTTAGATTTCATCGTGACTTCAAACTGATTAAATTAAATTTTGATTTTCTAAATAAAACCGGCTATGAAACTTAAAATGGTACATGTATGTATTACACATAAGTAAGTATAACTTCTAACGATACTGTGTGAAGCCCCGGGTTTTATTTAGGAGTCTTGAACAACTAATATTACATAACTCGAAACTGGCCATACAGGCTGTTGTTGTCTCGCAGTTAGTTGGTAGAGAGGCAATAACGTTGACCCATACTTTTCAACATTACAAAAGTCCCACTGTTTGCAGACCTTGGAGGATGTCAAAAGGTGTGTTGAAGACTTCTCCAGCTGGGCCAGAAAGCAAACAGTTCCCCTTTTTACGTTGTGTACCCAAGTCTGAGCTCAGCCGACCCTGGATAGAGTGGTAGGTAGACTAGACCTAGGGGCACTCAAGTACTGTATGATGGCTCTTTATATGAAAGATTGCGCACGTGCACATGTTCGTCTAGATGTGACGTGAGGTGAGGAGTTATTATTATCTTTTTTTCCCAGGAATCAAAACGCTTATGGATTTATTCCTGTGATGAAAAATAATTTTTGCTGTGTGTGTTTAATCGAAATTTTTAATATATATAGATATATATTTTTTTTACAACAATTTCTTTCATCGAACAAAATAAGAGCTGTTGTATTATGTTATGGAGAATGAAATCCTTTTGTTACGGAACTCTGTTCTTTGGTTACTGAGCTATTATTAATTGTGCCATATATTTCTCGACTGACAAACTTAGAATATTTAACTAAGTGAGTTTTTACATATTTAACATACTGAAGTGTTGTATCGTTTCTGAATTGAAATCTCGAAACTAAAATAATAATAAAAAACTATGTGCCTTTTGTTTTCTTTTCAAGAGAAGGTGTACTGGGTAATGGTACTTTAAAAAAAAATCTCTTTTCACCCGGATGTCTGTTACCTTGACTACCAAACCCTCTCCTGTGTATGTTGACACGAGGTATGTGATTAGATGAGACAAAGGATAGGGTGTCAAAAAACGTCATCATGGAATATCTCGTCACAAAATACACTGAAAAGTATAAAAGATGAATTTCACGCCTTGTGAATCGGTGTTCACGGTTATCTTCCCTCGGGTCATCCACTGAATCATCCATTCATCTCCTATGGAATAAACAAGTAGCTTATAAATATGATACCTATATTTTCAATCCTATATTGACTTCGTAAAATTAACAGAACGTTCCCACGCACAGGTGAATCGTTATTATATTACTTTGTTTCCTACAAATACGAGATTTATTTCATAAGTCTGATCTGGCTATTTACCTTTTACTTCAAAATAACGTAAACACACATGTTGAATTTGCAACAGTACTAAAAAGAATAGGTGCCTCCCTATTTTTGCGTGAGAAAAAACAAACACTATCATTTTTGTACGACGATAGCGCCATCTACTCTGTTTCTTTCCTTTTCAGGCTTAGGCTTAATAAAGAAGCAAAAGTATGAAAACCTAGTATAGCACCAAATTTTACATTAATTACCGTTCTGTCGAAACATATTGTATCTTTCCCCAAAATAAATAATTATTTGCCAACTTATTATTATATTAGCATAATGTGCTTCCATTATAAATTAGAACGTGTAATTTTTCTGTAGGGATCTAACATTTACGAAAGAAAGTTTTTTTTTATTTTTCATTAGATCTGAATGTCCATGTTAAAACTTCTTATAAGGTATGCTGTGTTGAAGCGATATTCATTTTATTTTCACTTGCGTACTGATAACTCACAATGGAGGACAAAATCAGAGGTAGATAAACACAAGTAGAGAAAATCTTAAGTGATATTCTCAACATTCTTTTGATGGGGCGGGGGGGGGTACTCGTAATGTGAGTTTCTATAGTGCTGTATGAAACATGAATAGCTGTTTTCAGTTTAGAAAAGTTCATGTTTCAGGAACTCTAT